TCCTAAACGCTCTCATGCTTAAGAAAAAAACACTGAAAATATGAATGTCAACAGATACCTTGCTGCATATCCTCCTGCAGCATATATATTCAGAACAGGTTAATACCAGTGCATTCTCTTATGAGGGGATCCTAGTCCACTCTCAGGGCATGTTGTACCATATTACATGCTTTTGTTTTCTGTGTCTGAAGTCCTACGCACTTTGCTTTTACAGTATAGCTTTGATTTAGTATATATTTAGGCCACTTATAACTATACTCTCTTCTACTTTTAATTTTTCATTTTTAATTTATTTAGAAAAAAATATAACTTTGTGACTTTCATCCTTACCTTTCCAAAATATTTTAATGGTTCTTTGTGAATTTTGTATAACATATCTTTAATCATATTCACTCATCTCCCCAACATTTCCCAGATCCAGCCTCTTCACTACTGTCTTTGTTAGGGTTTCTATTCCTTGAAGAGAGACCATGACCACAGCAATGCTTATAAAGAAAAACATTAATTGGGGCTGGCATACAGTTTCAGAGGTTTAGTCCCATTTCGTCATTGCAGGAAGCATGGTGGCATGCAGGTAGAGATGATGCTGAAAACGGGAGTTAAGCATTCTACTCTTGAATCCTTAGGTAGCAGAAAAAGAACACCATACTGTGCTTAGCTTGAACATCTGAGACTTCAAAGCCCACCCCAAACACCATACCTACTCCAATAAGGCCATAGTTTCTAACAGTACCTCTCACCATGAACCTTTGTCAAAGGCTCATTTTTTTGTCAACCCATCATACCTAGAGACATTATTTTGTGTCTGTTGTTGTTAAACCTATCAAGATTAATTTGAGCTGCCAAAATATTTTTGTATGACCTCCCACTACAGGATGTTCAACTTCCCAGCATTTGTACTCTTACAGAAAACAAACTCTACATCTCCCATTAGTTAACAGTTTCTAATAGTTTCTTGGTATTTACTTCTTGCCTAATTCCACTGTTGGTATTTTTCACCATTCTTAAGCATGTTGTCATAACAATGATGAGTTCATAAATGAAACTACCCTATTTCAGAAGAAGATATTTTTTTCATATCCTTTATCTCCCATTGTCCTAACATTCCATTTTTACCTAATTCCCTATGATCCTTGAGCACTGTGAGGAACAAGTATATAGTGCTGAGCATTCTACAGTGTTTTAGTCATTGTTTCTTGGTCATCTACAAAAAAAAGTGTCTCAGATGAGGTTTGAGAGATTACCTATGAGCATAATGAAAAATCATTGAGAGTTGGTATATTACTACGATTATTTAGGGGGACAATAGTTTGCTTTCTTCCTCAAGGTAATGATGTCTCTAGCCATAGAGTCTTGGTCCAATAATGTTAACAATTTTGTGTTTCAATTTGTAGACTGAGATTTAAATCCAACGTAAATGTGGTTGATAATTCAAATTGATGTACAGGCCACAATTGCACCAGACGAAATGTCTTGCCAGGAAAGTCGTTACTGTAGCACCCATGAATCACAGCTGAATAAGACTGATGTTTACTTTCTCCTATGGTACTGTGTATAGTACCTTCTACCACCATGAAAGCTAGACAGTGGAGATGAGCTTCCAGGTCAGCATAAGCTTAATATTATACTGTTACATGAATCAAGTGGATGGTGTCTTCAGCAATAGCTGTTAATCAACTTAAATGATCCAATTTAATAATATTCTTTACCACAACATTTAAATATACAGTTATTATTATACAATAGTATTTGCTATTCATTTATCCACTAAACACTCCTGTCTTACCTCTCTCACTTTGGACTCTTCTTCATTTGATTATTCAGTTCCACTTATTCATTACTTCTTGAAAATGTAATTGGATTATGAAGGTAATCACATTGTAGGTAATGAAGCTACAAGCTGATTTTGGTACTGCAGACATTTCAGAACATAAAATCTGTTCATCAATTATATAGTACTTAAAGTTTTGTCGTTGGTGTTTTAAATTTTTCATAATAAGGATATTTTAGGGTTGTTTGTTTGTTTGTTTTGTTAGGCTTTCACCTAGGCATATTTTAGGTATGTTGGTGTTGCTATTCTGGCTTTTAGATGAAAAGAAGTTTACTTTCTTTTCAGTGATCCCATCTGTTAATTCCTGTTTGCATCTTTTTTGGTTAACAGTAAGACCAAACAGCTCTAACTTTTCCACATAGGCTCAAGGAACAGAGTGTGTTCCAAATAAATGAATATGTGCATATGAAGGAAAATGACATTGTGTAGGCTGAAGGAAGGGATCACTCAAGGACCATGCTTGTTCTGTGGATACTGAGAAAATACCCCAGAACATATATTTACCTTAACCAGATATAATAGTTTCCTCTAAATTTGGGTAATTTTAATCTGTTCACCAATTTTGTACACAAAAGGAGTCGCACAGTGAAAAACCACAATAAGTTTAGTTCAACATTTCTTTTTATTAATTTTATTTTTCTCATTAGTTACAGTTTGTTAATTCTGTATCCCAGCTGTATCCCTCATTCCCTCCCCAATCCCACCCTCCCTCCCTCATCTCCTCACTTCACCTTTCCAAGTCCACTGATAGGGGAGGACCTCCTTTCCTTTCATATGACTCCGTTTTGTCAGGTATTTTCAACATTTCCATCATCAGATTGTTTTCAGATTATTTTGAGATTTATACTTTCCCCAAAAGGGCTCTATTGTGAGATTTTATTATAATTTATCAGTGTATGAATTTTTGATTAAGAAATATAAGGTATAGTGTTTACTAGTCATTGTTATTTCAAAGTTTATGCATGTACATAATGAAACTTAAATATAACTGTGTGTTTATAACATCAATATTGTTTAAATTTAATTTACATGTAAATTCCCTGATAAACAATGATGTATTTGTTTATATACGTAAACCAGATTATTCCATATACTTTAAAATGAACATTCTAGAATAGGGATTTCTATTACCAATATACAATATTCTTCACTCATTATGTGTGACTCACTGGACTCTTGCAAAGACACCAGCCCCTAAAACAGGACCCTCCTTATTTTATTGAAACCTGGCATGAACCTAACCACCAAAAGGACCATCACTCAATGTTTGTATTTGCTGGTCATCTTTTATTTAGAATGTTGAATGAATATTTGGGAGGAAGTTAGGATTGTAAAATTCCAGACAGAGGCGTGGATTCCCATTTGTCCTGGCCAAGATAATTTATACATGTTAGCTACTGCAGTTCTACAAGAGATATGTTTGGATATATTTTCTTCATGCATTGTAACAAGATTAAGTGTTTTATTGCAGTAAAAGTCACATGGAGAAGCAAAAAGAGGGTAGTTGAAGAAAAATATATATCCGTTATATAGTTCTGGAATGAACTACTGCCTTTTTCTACTTTTAAGTTTAATCTGTTGTTTACATGACATATGGGACAAAAATGTCAGTCTTGGTGAGGACTGAACTTGATGATTTCAGGACTAATATGAGTGGTTCCTTGATACTGAGGTTCCTGAGGTATGAATTATTCAAGAATGTATCCTAGAGAAGGCTGGTATTGCCAGGAGACCTTTAGGACCTAACCTATCTAAAAGAATGCATGGCTGTACCTGGAGAGAAGAAAATGGCATGGCGTGACAGGAAAAGCTTTAAAAGCTTTGACAGACAGAACAGGCTGATCATGCACACATGACGTGAATCCTGTCCAATACCTGAAGCCTGGAAAGCATGAGTAAGGCGCCTAAGACTAGACCGACCACTGAGTGGGGTAAAATGGATTCCTTTTTTTAGGAAAATGGTGAGTGCAGGTAACTTAGGGATATTTGACTATAACAAAAGAAGATATTTTACATTATTAATTACTACCACTACTGTAACTAATACTATTGTGCAGTTCTAGTATAAGCCAGCACGTGTGCCTTGAATTAACGGGCTATATCAGTGTCAAAAAGTCAGTATTTTGCTCTGGTACTGCTCAGCCTCTATCTCATCAAAATTTTTCTGCCCTGTTCTTCCAAAGTCATACCTCAGTTTGGGGTGATATAGATTTCCCCTTGGTGGGTAAGGCATCCCAGTAGTTCTTGTTCTTTGGACTTTTATTATTTGAGAATGCCTTCCCTTGCCACCATGCACTGCACAAAGAAAATGCTTTAATAAGGCCTGAGAGCTGCAGCAATCTATGAGTACAGAGAAATTTGAGATTGGGCAGTTTCTTTGACAAGGGGAGGGAGCCCAGGGAGTATATGGCTATGTTTTACAATGCAGTCAGGAGCTATTCTGGTCTATTAAAGTGGTAGATTTGTATTAGCTGAGGAAGCTTAGGGACAAGAGTATACATTCACCAGGCTAGGTCAGAGCACACTGTGTGCCAGCCTGGTTGTACCTGGAGAGAATATATTGGCAGCGGTGATAGGAAAAGGCTTCAAGGACAGAAGAAGCTGGATATGCACACATGATGGGAACCTTGACCCAAACCTGAAGCCTGGGAAGGCTTGTGTAAGGCTCCTAAGATGAGATTGGACCACCAAATGTGATGAAATGGAGGTTCTCTTTGGGGACTGTGGTGAGTGCAGGTAACTTAGGGATAAAAGAGAATACATAACAAAGCTAAAGCAGAGCTCATGGTATACCTGCTTGGCAGGACCTAGTGAGTGACTAGGCCATATGTTAACAGGATAGGACCTGAATTGCAAACTGAATTACTTTCTGGAGGCATGCCAATAGTCACATGTTCTTAATGACGTGGAAATATTTTCAACTGTGACTTTATTCTCTGGTTCTGATAATTTAATATCAACAGCAATATGGTGAGTTGTGGATTATCCCATTTGCCAATCAAATTTCTTAAAGATACTAATACATTAAATATTAAATGAATAAAAGTTAGCAACACTTTTTTTAATTTTGTTATTTATACAATGTTTATTTTTCTTTTAAAAGGAACACATTATATTCATGCATACCTTTTCAATGTATAAAAATAAGACTATTTAAAATGAAACAGCATCATGGAGCTTTGGTACTGCTTAAGGATGAGCAGATATCACTATCACCAACTACCAAACAACTCAAGAGCTTGAGATAAAGGTCAACTGTTTGTATATCAACATGCAAGCAGTAGGATAATTTACAAAGAGCAATAAATTGAGATAATTCATCAGATGATTGAAAGTCTTCAAAACCAGACCAGAGGGGATAATCCACATTTTCTGTAGTTCCATAAACCTAAGGACCAAAGTGATAACTGATTATTCTTTACAGCTTGTATTTTCTTTTTTCTCTGCTTTCTAGATATTAATAACACTTAGGGAAATGATAAAACCACAAACCTTATTTATCAGGGGTATCTGGTTTAAGATGAGCTGCAAGATATACTGATCAAACAGTTCCAAAAAATTTATGGAATTTTATCATCCACACTTTGATTGGATCTAAGAATCACTTCATGAGATAGGACCTGTACTTGCCCCTGCATATGAAGCCTAGAACCTAAGACTAGAGAGGACATGGATCTAAGGGCAAATCCTACCACTAGTCTTCTTCTAAATGAGCATTGCAATAAAATACTGTGATATACATAGATAAGAGTATCTCTTAAGCTTCATCAGAGACTTTCTTCTTACAGTAGATAGTAATTAACAAAGAGATATACAATTAAGCAATGTGCAGAGACCAAGAAACTCTCAACCACTCAACCTAAATAGGATGCCTTCATTAAATTCATCCTATCAGGGATTTAGTATCTATATGAAGGAGGGGGTTAAAAAATGGTGAGAGACAGAAGTGGTAGGTGACTTTAAGGAAACAGCATCTTCAAGATATAATAAGACTGATATACACATAAACCAACAGAGCCTTGACAGCATACACAAGAGCTGCACAGGTTCAACCCAGACAAAAATCGCAGCACTGGGAAGGGAAGGTGAACACAATCTCCTATTCCCTAACTAAGAAATTATTTACAACTGATATGATGAAAAGGAGAAAAATCCGTTTTCTCCAAAAGAGTATCATTGGGAGTATCATCTGCACTCTAGGTCAGCCTTCATGCCCAAGAGTAATTGGACAACACAGAGCATACTCCATGTTTTTTTGTTTGTTTTTTTTTTTCTTTGTGGGAGGGGATCTTTGGTTTTCTTTGGGTATTTTTGTCTTACTATTTTGTCTTACTTATTTTTCTTAGTTTCCCTGTCTGTTTTCATTTTTTCTTTTTGTTGTCTTTCTTGATTTATGAGGGAGATAGGGAGAAAAGGAGAGTCAGAGTTGGGTTGATAATATGGTAGAAAGAATCTGAAAGAGTTGTGGAAGGCAAAGAATAGAATAACTGTGACAAAAATAAGACTGAAGTCTTTCTATGTCTTTTCTACAAATTGCCTTATCCATGATTTTTTATAATTAGTAAATGTAATGAGTAAAGGTATATGATTTTTAAAGCATAAAAAAGGATATGATCAAAATATATTGCATGACAAATATTTTAAATAAAAAAATTCAAGAAAAGGAAATCTGTTATCACAAAGAAAAACACATTTTTATGAAACTGCAGCAATAACGTAGATTTTCACTACTCTAGCACCTATAGAACCACTATAGGTGGTTCTATAAATCTGTCAGCCATCTACAAGTAAAAACAAAACTACTATACACCTTTAACCAAATTTAATTGACTTCAGATAAAATTTGTCTTTTTATGACTCTGAAGATGGAGGACCAGAATTTGATACTTGAGCATAGGCCTGTGTCTGTCCTTCAAAATGAATACTAATTGGCTGGCATAATTGTGATAAGAGTCTCTGAAGAAGTAGGCAGGAATATTTCACTCTGTCTAGAAAAATAGGAACTTCTCAAATTTCTATGAAAAACTGATACTTTACCCTTATGCATTAGTTCTGAAAGAGCCTACAAGATTAAGTGCCAAATTTTGTTCTTGCAGAGTCTTTCAAAATGTAATATCCATTGCAAAAGTCTTCTTAATCATGAATAAGAAATGTGAAAGGTAAGAACTATACTCACCGAGCTGAGTATACTCTTGGTGTCTTTCAGAAGCTTTGCATTTTTCCTCTCAATGTCTTTGACTAAAGATATGACATCATCATCAGTTCCTGGTATACTTCCGAGTACTGTCAGTAGATTTTTAAGAGTGTCTTTCCAAGCCAGCACTCTACTGAGTATCAGTATTGGAAATTCTTCAAGCTAAGCAACCATGTTTCAGCAATTATATTAAGATAAGTAATATAAAGAAGGATTAGTTAGTTTGGTTTTCTACAAGACAGGCTGAATTAAATATACATTTGTTACTTTTATGAGAAAGTAGAAGTTTTTGAGAAAGTGAAATAATATAGACTAATAAAATATAAACAATCAGTAATTTACCATTATGAAATAAAGTATGTTGTTAGCTATTATTTCTAATATCCTATTTATTTTATTTATCGTCTTTTTCATATTAAATTATACCATATACTGTCCCTGTAAGCTCTTTCATACTTCATTATTTTACTTCTCCATGGGAACCCAAGAATTTTCTGGGAACTAGTAGGTGTTCTTATTCAGGAAAAATAGATATCTCCAATGTCCCCAATGGCAAGATATTTAACTCAGACTCATAACACTAATAAAGTAGATTGTTCACATTCATACTTATTTTTAGTTTTTTTAAGACAGTAAAAACAATATTCTGTGAAGATAAACTGACATTATTAAGTGTGGTTTCCTCAGTCTAGAGTACTTCTCTTTTTCCTCTAGCAGAGCAGCACATTTGTTGGAACATATGATTGTCAAAAAAATGGAACAGTGGTATACCATTGTCTTTAATAACAGAATGAATAGAAATAATAATGGAATTTTAACTTTCTAGTGTGTGTCTCAGCATTCCTAATTTAAAATGCTTCATGTGCTGATATCTTTAGCTATTATAGAGATAATGAAAAGCCTAGAAAGGAATCCAGTAGACATTGTGGTAGAAATAGGGAAAATGAATGATGGAAAGAAGAAGATACAACCATGTTGGTAATATAATCTCCTTAATCTCCTTGACTCATTGCTGCATATGAACAAGAGTGAAGACTTGAGTTGGATGGGGCCCAGACACTAATTCTGGTGGAGAAGTTTGAAGGTCCAAGTCCCATAAAACCTTCCAATACCTCAGTCTCCTTACCTCTGCTAGTTTTTGTGAGTGGTAATTGGAGCAATGTCAGTAAAGCACTTTGGGAAGTGCCTAGCCATGGAATACATGTCTAGAAATATTTTTATTCCTTTTTTATCTTATTGCTTTCACAAGATGCTTAAATCAGTTCATTTGAGAATAAGTTACGGAAAGGAATCTTAAGGAAATATCATAATAGTTACAATTACAGCTGCAGTGATATATAGACCTTCTCATTACAACTGAGAGCATGGCTCATTCTGAGGAGCATTATGGTATTTATGGCAAGCCCTTATTCAGAGATTTCAGTTAAAACAGCAGAAATCACAAAAGTCATGAAGAAATGAATAGGCAAGTAAATAGAAGTAGAATCAGAAGAGTCTTGAAAATCCAGGAGACTTGAGAATGATGGTCAACATTGTGATATTTGCCACTCACTGGTAACATACAAGGAACACAGTTGTGTTTGCATTTAAGTCTAGTAGTGAGATATCATTAAACTAAAACCCTCTTAATGGATAGTTTAAGGACCTGTTAAAATATTACTGAACATTTGCTTATTTTTGTCAAGTCTTTAATATGACTTTTTGTTGTTTCTTCTCGCTCCATTTTCCTGTAGGTGTGATTTTCACATCTGTGGTAGTACTTAGCAGAAACCTGCAGCATGACTAGCAAATACAGTCTACTACTTCAACTGTTTAGGTGAAAAACAACTAAAGACTCACAGAGGTACTTTGAGCATCATCCATGTTTTCTGGAGTTTTGATGGAATAATTGTGGCAGGAGGTAAGATTCTTAACCAGTAATTTCTGTTCCCCAAGAAACATAAACATCTGCATATATCAAAATAAATATTCAGTTAATCAAACTCTGGAAAATAAGCCACTGAACCCACAACCTTAATATTAATGTGCTCAATAGATTCGTGTGTTTTACAAATGAAATCTACATAAAATCTAAGTAAGATTAAGAACTTAATAAGAATACATTGATTCTTTTCTTCTTAATTCGATTTGTAATCTCGTTTACTTTTTTATCTAAATGTCAAACACCCAACCTTTTTCCATATTTACTCTTTTATTAATTTTTATTAATTTTCACAATATTTTTCTATATTGAAATGAAGCCTTGAAAACAACAGAACTAGATATTACAAAGCATCATAAAGATCATCTCTCTTTAGAATCTGGGCCATGTGTCATGGTATATTGTACCTATATTCATTAATATCTTGCTTCCTGTATTTGCTTCCAAATTGATGTGGATCTTTTATCTTGCTTTTATTAAGTATATGTTTTCTTCCTATTAAAAGTGAATATATAACCCTTTTCCATCCACTGTTAATCATAAATCCTGACTGGAATTGTGTCAAGTTTGACAAAAATAGATATAACAAAGACTTTTTTAAAAGCGAATAAAAAGCAATGAAATAAAAGTCAACAAAATATTAATTAATGTTTATATATTGATTGATATATTTTAAATAGTATACTTCAAATATACTATTAATAACTTATTTAAAATTGATAATCATCTACTGTGTAAATGTTTAATGTATTACTAGGAATGTTAAGAATTTCAAAGAGGGTGAATAAAGAATAAGAAATGAGAAATTATGTGTAAAAAGACCATAATTACATATCTATGCCAAATGCAAAGACACATTTGTTTTTATGTCCATTGTTTCATTGAAGCCTTATGCTTTTTTTTTTCTCCTTTATGTTGACTGACCTTGAACAGATAACAGAGGAGGGAGCCTATTTTTCACTTGTCAGTCAGCCCCCCTACCGAATGAACTCCAGCACTGTAATGCTCCAAAAGGAATCCTAGCATTGGGGGTTCATGAAAATAAACTAGTGTGTTTCTTCCTTCTTGAAGTGGTTTCCGTTTGGATTGCTGCAGTTCCTATACCTAACTGACTACAGTGCAGTTCAAATTGTTGGGTATCTGCAGTGAAGTTAGTGAAAAATACCAATATTTTCTTGCTTCTTAAAAAACTAAATTCAGATATCAGAGTTCTTCCCTAGCTACAACAACACATATACTTTTAGGTCACAGTTACAATTTTTAATTAGAAAATAAATAAATTTATAGAAAATTAACCAAGGCAAATTTGACAAGCTTCAAGATTCTCATTTTTCTTTTTATGCCAGAGGCTCTCTTGTATGATAATACAATAATAAAATATCATAATACACCTGAGGATGTGTTACTTGACACTTGGTCTTTGATGTTCTCTCTTATGTTCAAGTAATGTCATTAGCATGAAGGCATTTGGGAAGAAAAAAATAAAAATAAATGAGGTACTTACAAACTGGTCAAGTGAGACTAGTGATGAATTTAACTGTATCAGGATGGAGGGAAAGATTTAAAAAGTGAGTAAACAGACAACACAAATGCATATTTATTTCAAAAGGAGACATTCTCTGGGTGCCCACTTGGTATTAAAACCATATCTTATGTCTCCTCCTTGACACTAACTGTCCTTGAACAGATCACATGCAGTCCTCAGGAACACAGAACCTGTTTCTTTTCTAAATCAGCCATTCTAGTGAACAAACTTCTGCATCAGACACCTTTAAATAAGATTTAAATGATTCCAGCATTTAGGATATAATGAAAAGCTAATATGTTGTTTCTACTCACTCTTTCCTCCACTTGAATGATCTCCTTTTAGATTCATTCTATTTATGCTCTTTGACTTACTGTAATATACTTCTTCTTAGGATAGGAGTTCCACAAGGACCAAACATATCTGGGCACAGGGTCTTTTCTGAGACTGACATGCAACCAAGGACCATGTATGAATGTAACCTAGAACCTCTGCTCAGATGTAGCCTGTGGTAACTCAGTAACCAATTGGTAGCCTGTGGTAGCTCAGTGACCAATTAGTTTCCCATGGTGAGGGGAACAAGGACTATTTCTAACAGGAACTCAACAGCTGGCTCTTTAACCTCCCCACCCCACAAGGGAGGAGCAGTCCTGTTAGGCCACAGAGGAGAGCTTTGCAGCCAGTCCTGAAGATACCTGATAAAACAGGATCAGATGAATGGGGAGGAGGTTCCCCCTATCAGTGGACTTGGCAAGGGGCACGGTGGAGATGAGGGAGGGAGGAAGGGACTGGGAGGGAATGAGGGATCGGGACACGGCTGGGATACAGAGTTAATAAAATGTAACTGATAAGAAAAAAATAAAATTAAAAAAATATATATATACTTCTTCTTTATTGGATATCTCCAGTGTGCTAACAAAAGTTGCCAAAGAGACTGGCATAGAAGCAGAATCATGGAGTTAGAATTATTCACTGGACTCAACTATTACAACATTATTTTGCAAGTGCAAAGATAGTTTTTAAATGAAGCAACAACAATTAAAAAGGGGAGAAGGACCTCAAAAAACCATTGGATTCCATAAATGCCCGAGATTTCCTGAAGTTTTCTTACTCTTTTTCTGTTTTTGTCTGGCTGGCACTTTCTTTTATCAATGGAAATATATTATTTGAAACTGGGATTTAATTCTTTCCCGTGATAAGTTCAAACAAAGTCATTAACATGAAGGTTTTGGGATAGAAAGAAGATGGAAGTAAGTACTTACAAAGTTATCAAAAATTTTTGCAGATAACTCACTGATGGTCTGAGACAGGATGATGACACAAACAAACAAACAAACAAACAAAACAAACAAACACTAGTGAGTTAAATGGTGACATATATACATATTTAATGCAAAAAACATACATTCTCTGGATCCCCTTTTCTGTATAGAAACCTTGTCTGCGGTTTCCTTAAGCAGAAAGCATGAAGCCTTCAGAAACAGAGTACCCTTTTCACTTCTAAACCAGCCTTCCAAGTGAATAAACTTATGCATTGTACCTCTTTTGTAGCTCTTTAAAAAAAAAAACTTTCAGCGTTTAACCATTTGAGAAGCTGGTGGATATATTTGTTTGTTTTTATTTTTATTTGTTTTGGTTTGTTTCTTTCTTTTGGCTTTTGCTCTTGCCATATCACCACAATTTAAACCAGTTTCATTCATTCCGTGTGACTGACTGCAATACATTTCTCCTCTGTGGCTGTGGTGCTGTATGTTAAGTAAAGACACTTAAAGAAGTATAAAGAAGTCAGATCTCTTCCTCTACTGTGGCTATTAGATTTTTAGGCCACAAATTGAAATTTAAGAAAATTGAAAGATAAGTGCAAAAAGAATTCCCAAGTTAATTGAACTCTTCAAAAATTATTGAGATTTTTATGAAGCTTATCCCATTTTTCTTACTTCATTTTTCAATCGCTGCTGCTTTAATTTATTATTATAAAGGCAAATTATTACAAATTTGGCTAACAATAACTATAAATGTGCTACAGGCAACCTTAGACAGGGAGGTTGCTGTATGAAACAAACAAACAAACAAACAGATGTAAGTGAAGTACTTACAAATATCTTGCGCAATTTCATGTTCTGGTCATTGATAGTCTGAGAAAGTGCCAAGGTATTATGAAACTGATCCTTGAGTGATTGTTGATCATCCTCAGTGTTACTGCTGCCCAATGCCACAGAAGCCACATTCTCCCATAAAAGGAAGTTTGACACCACCAGCAGCAGAAGTGCCCCTGCTAACACAAACAAGGGCCATTCAGATCCATTGCCAGGGGGAAGTGATCAAAGAGCAGGCAACTGAGTTCATGACAGAGACAGCACCTGATCCCCTTACTCAGGATCTCACATGGAGACTGAGCTGCCTATGGGTTGCATCTGAGCAGAGGGTCTAGGTCCTTTCCATGCATGGTCCTTGTACTTACTTAAAAACAGGTATTAGCTGTATAATATAGGAAAACCATACTAAAATCTATGGACCTAAAGAAAGTAAACAACAAAGAGGACCCTAGGGAGGATGCTTAAATCTTATTCAGAATGGCAAACAAGGTAGAAAGCAGAAGCAATGGAAGAGAGGTAATAGGATGGAAGCCTACTATAGAGACTCCACCCAACAGGGGATCAAAGCAGATGATGAGACTTACAGCCAAACTTTGGGCAGAGCACAGGGAGTCTTATAGAAAAAGGGGAGAGACAGAAGGACAAGGAGGGGACAGGAGCTCCAAAAGGAAACCAACAAAGCCCCCAAAAAAATATGAGCTCAGGTGGTCTTCCAGAGACTGACACACCAACCAAGGTTTCAATTTTTTCTTTAATTTCTGAGAGTTTAACATGGTCATGATATTTACCCACTTTCCTCCTCCCAAACACTCCCATATACCTCTCCTTGCTCTTGTTTAAAAATCCGTCCTCTTTTTTTCATTGATTGTTTCTTTGTACATATATACATACAAATGTATACATACATATATGTCTATGTGTATTCATATATAAATAAATACAACCTGTGTAATGTTGCTTGTATGTAAGATTTTCAGGGAGGACCACATGGTATTAGATAACCAGTTGGTGTGCTTTCCCCAGAGTAAGATTGTTTCTCCCACTGTTGTCATGCTTAAGTTGCCTGTAGTTATTTGTGTAGAATTGAGGCCTCCTAGGATTTACCACATCCATGTTAGCATGTCTATTATTTTGTCTTTATTCAGCTCTTGTTTAAGCAATTATGTTGGTGAGACTTCATAGGTATAGCTTCTGATAGTCCTAGGAGACACAGTCTCAGAGCAAACTCCCCTGTCTTCTTCATTAAAAATAAAAGAAGAAGAAGAAGAAGAAGAAGAAGAAGAAGAAGAAGAAGAAGAAGAAGAAGAAGAAGAAGAAGAAGAAGA